GCGGCAATTATGTTCTCGGGCCGCACTTTTGTACGGCCCCTCAATTACCTCCCTAAGTTGTTTCGCTCGAGCTTTTCGCAATTACCGACGTCTGCAATATCTTACGTCCTATATCGTCTCATGCATGTACAGTATACAGAAATAAGCGAGAAGGGCGGCGTCTTAGTCTCGCGATCCAATTTTTTGTAAAAAAAGAGTTGTCGCATAATCTTGATCAGTCCTTTTTTTTCTGCGTTGCCCTGTAATTCGAGGGGGCGTACCGCGAGTGCGCAATAGTGTGAGCAACAAGCTGGGATACTATTATACCCTGTAGAAGCATGCCCTTAGTATGCCACGCTGTACATTCATGGGAATTACACACCTTCAGAGCGCACTAGATCATAGACGACCCCCATCGGCAATACATACTTACATTCTTGTTTATTTTGAGCAGCAACCGCTTACATGCCCCCTCGCAGAAATCGCCTTTCTTTCATGTAGCTTGAAGAATGGACACCGCTTCGATCTCAGTCATGTTCATGGAAACATAGTTGCCAGTGCAAACAAGGTCATCAAGTACAAACAAAGTATGAATTACGAAAAGGTGGAGCGAAGTTCTACAGGTTTTTGCGCCACATGTTCACGTATCCTGATGAACAAGTAGCTTGGCTTTTTATATTAGGTAACTGTATTTCATGCAAGTGCCACAGAGCACAGCTGATGGTGGGCAAGTCAGCGCAAAAATTCGCTCAACGCCGAAGTAGAACGTTCGTTGCTTGGACCGTGACGCAGCGCATTGCAGATGAACAGGCAGAAGAGTACTTGTAGGCAGACAGTACTGAGATGAATCGTAAACACGTATCACTTGTGAGGCGTTCTTGATAGTAGTGCACGAAGCCTGCGAGAAGATATGTAACCTTTGTTCTCATGGCGGCCATGGACTGCCGAAACGTTTGCACTGCATCAGTGTCCCACTTTACGAGAGCCCGTTAGCCTTCCCTTCTAACAGGTGACATTAGGATGTTTCCAGGTGTCAATATTTCAACACTTCCCTGCTTCATATTGATATTCTGCCACCATTCAGCGTGTGACAACGGCAAATAGACAAAGACCGAAAAACCAGAAAGCAGAGGGGGAAAAGTATTGGGAAAGTATCAGCTGGGCTCGCAGTGACCCCTCTATTCTGGTCCGACGGCGAACTGGAAACAAACTCGCTAGAAAGCGTGCGCCTTTGGAGTGGAGCTCACAAACAAGGCAGGCCTGCATCTCTTTTGGTGCGTGACGACTTTAAAGTGCGCAAGAACAACGCGTCCGATGTCCATGCAAGGTGAGCGCGATGGAGAAGAGGGACATGATAGCTTCTCCTCACGCACTCGCCCCTGGCTTCTACCTGCATGACCGGCCGTGTTGTCCGCATTCCTGAAGACTCGCCGCTATAGCTTTGCCTGTCTTGTTTAGAAGGCGCTTGTTTTGGGCACCCTCGAAAGCAGCCGCGGCAACGCGCGTTGGTAAATAGGTGATCTCCGACGACGTCCCAGCTCTCCCTGTAACCATGCTATGGAGACGCCAGGAAAGCGTTCCTACTTCCGCACTGCCTGCAGGAACCAACTCCGGAAGCTTCCCGGAACTGAACGGAGGCATTTGCATTCGGGAACTGCTCGTATGCGTGCACGTAGGAAAGAAAAATATGGTGGCGACAGAAATGGGGCACCGCACATTAAGTTACTGAAATTTCTCGTAACGACCTGCTTTTCCGATTCTTATCGTTCGTGAGGCCGTTGCCTCCAGTTCGGACGCCGTCTGTCGCACATCGGTGGGCAAATATAGGCTCTCTATATAGAGAAGCGCTGTGAGCGAGAAAGCGCTTGACTCTGGCAGTGCAAACGGCGCATCTAGAACGTTAAATAGCTCGCGGAAGAAAAAGAAAGCACACTTCCTTTCCTAGAGTTCACGTTTCCTCTTGGTCATTTCGATGACCAGAAGGAGGCTGGCCGGTTCTGGTTTTGCATTGAGGAAGACACTGACCCGACCAGTCCACTTCCTGACTGATTAAGTGCTTCTCCGTTGCTTCCCATTGCTCACAGTTGCTCTCCCGAGCCAACGTTTTCTTCCTGCAGTTTGTTTCCGCATGTTTTCCTTGCTCAGCCACCGAGATCACCTACTTTAACGCTGACGACGTTCATCATGGTGGGCTTTTCACCCTCTCAAACACTGACCTCGTTATGGGAGGGCATTCGTGTGAATAAGTCTCCTCTTCCTTCTTAATGTGTTCTCACTGGGTCTCTTTGTAGATTAAGCGTTTTTTTTTAATTTAAAACGGGAGAGCTTCCTCAGCTGTATGCTTCTCTAGCTTATGCGATACGTCAACGCCTTGTTTCCGCTTCCATTGCACTAAGTACCAACGTATGTATGCATCTCTCCAAGGCGCACTATCCTCATATGCTGCATCATTCACGCTTTTGTTTCACACTGCACTGCTGGGCTCGAGTCAAAATTTTTCATAAATTGAAAACCGCATCCTGAGAGCGTTTCTGATACCTTGTACAGCGAACAAAAGCATTCGGTTTACTGTCGCAGCAGTTTAGACTTGAACATTTGAAAGCTTCGTGATATGTGCAATGTGCTGCCATAAAGGTAACTTCAGTGAGTGTTGTGCTCGGAAATCAGATGTTTTTTGTCATGTTTTCCAGTTGCAGCATGTGAACTGCATGCATTTAGCGGTCGGAGCTATTAGTGATATTGCACTATACAATTAGCACCTACAAGTTGCTAGTTTGGTGGTTGTCACCAAAAATTAGCTTCCCAAGGGTCCAGAAAGATGAAGCTGCCTAGTGTAGCAGAGAAATCCTGGCCACTCTTTCCAAACTTATTGTTCATTTGGCCGTTTCAGTGTACCCAAAGACAAGCTACAAAGATTCCGAAGAGCCTACTCAATGTGTGGGGTTTGGTTTTAGGAAGCCTTGCAACAGCATGCTGCCTCACAAATGTGCCATAAGCCGGAAGGCCACAACTAGTCTTTATAGGTTCTTTGCTTTCGATTGTCGTCATCGGCGGTGTCGCGAAGCGTTCAGCGTTTTCAACAAAATGTCGCAAATAATGGGCACACGCTTCCTGCCTGGCATGACAGGGTCAATTATTATAAAAGTCTTCGCGCTTGACTAGGCAAACGACAGTTATACGCTATATTACGACACCACTTTATTTTTGTGGAATCTGCCATCGATTGTACAGTGCCTTCGCTTGTTCATTGCCGCCTGCCTTACACTCCTCGAGAGTAATGTAAGACATTCACTGATGGCTTGTGATAGCCTTGTTCTTTGGTAGGCTGCTGCAAGAGCACCTGTACGTATATCGCGGCTTGGCATTTTTTGGCTATAGGTAGATCACTTCATAAACGGCATGGCGTCTGCTGAAAAGCTATTGCGCAACTGTAGCTGTGCTGCATTCGAGGAATCTGCAATGTTTTCTGCTTCTAGCGTCTGTACGAGTCTGGTACAAACAAGTTGCGTTGTTCTGAGCGCTGCTGTTGGACATTACTTAAAGCAGAAGTTAACATGCTCCCTTGAAGGGATGAAGCGTGATTTAAACCTTGCAAGACGACAGGAGGAGCATTGATGAAAAGAGTCTGATTATGGCCCTGTAGCAGCGAGGTTAACGAAATTTGCATTTCCCTCCCCACTTTTGCTCGAAGGGCATGCTCCTGGGCCAATATATCAAAGCTTTGTTGATCTTGTGATACCATTAAGGACAGATAGAGCTCTATAAAGATGGGGCTCTATCCGTCTGGCATCGTTCTACAGTGAAATCTGAACCGAACATGTTCCTCCTGAAGGACTGCTGAAGACGGTGGCAAAGGCTGGCCAGTGCATGTATATATACGTGTATTCATATCTATATATATTCACGGGGTCTCAATTGGGCGTGGTGTGGAAAACTATTCTGCCGCGAGTCGGGCCCCATGATCGACTTCTTCAACGCATTCACTCTTTTATACGTGCAACGAATACAGCAGATGTAAGTTCGCGGAAATGCCTTGTAGACGAGGCTACACTTTGAGAACAGCGGTCTTGCAAGCTTTTCCGGCACTACTGCTAGCTACGGCCTCATATGTTTCTGCGCCGCGCACTGCCGTGACAACACACTTGGCAGCATTGCGAGCGTGTCACACGGTGGAAGACGAGAGAATGGTTGCGTCTACTTTTGGCCAAAACCAAAGAAGAAGCACACAGTGGATATGACAAAAAGAAGTAAAAAAAGGAAGAATAACGTGCACGATGGCGTGTGCAAGACGACGAAGACGGAGAGAAAGCTGTTTTGTCATAGTATTTTTTGTTTTTTGCTAGGTCATTTAACGGCTTTCTCTGCTTCCTTGTCCTTACCTCGACAAGCTTTCGAAATACATACCCTGCATGGATGTTGTCTACGGAGGCTTCAAACATCCGTGATCGTTACGTGCGCGGAAGAACTTTTTGCTGATGCTTATTATAGTTTTTTCTGTTGCAGTTAACTTTGTCTTCTCGCCCTGAGGGACGGCGTTCGAGTGAGTTTGGGTAGGCTTTGATGAACGTTCCGTTAACCAGTGCCTCCGATTTATTCCTAGGTTGTAAATGGTAAATCACCTAGGAGTTGATCGGGACATTCTTAAGCAGGGTCTTCTACATCGGTAACACTCCTGGTGGTACTCCCATTGTAGCAGGTTGATGCTTCCTGTGACTTCATGAACATTTATGCTCGTGAAAGAACCCGAGATGGTCGATATTTCCGGAGCCCTTCACTACGACGTCTCCCGTATTCGTATGGTGGTTTTGGGAAGTTAAAACTTCACATATCAATCAATCGTGAACATTTATATCGCGAAGGAAGCGCAGACATTTCCCTCAGCTAAATGTGTTCAAGTGCACCTTGGCAATGTCATTGTGTCAGTTTGATTTTCATGATGTCCGCTTTTGATATTTCCGCGAAGAAGTCTTTTATTACCATGGGATCACATTTTTTCTCTCTCTATTTGTCTTCCTTCGCAGAGTCTACATTAAGAAGCACACGCACTACGGCGGCGGAGGCTACGGCGGAGGTGGCTTCGGAGGAGGCGGCTTCGGCGGGGGCGGCTTCGGTGGTGGCTACGGCGGCGGCGGCTACGGTGGTGGCTACGGCGGCGGCTACGGCGGTGGATTCGGTGGTGGCTACGGAGGCGGCCATGGCTGGCACTGAAGAGCGTCGACAGTCTAGCACGTGCCACGACCATTCTAGATGCGTTCGGACCAACCCAAGGGACATAAAAGGAAGTGAACGCCGGCTCCCCGCTTTCCGCTCGCCGTCGCCCTTCCGTTGCGTCACATCCTCGCGTGCGCAATGACGTCAAAGGATGCTGGCTGCCGTCACGAGCGGAGAGTGGGGAAGCGGGAGAGAGAAAGGGGATTACTCAACCGTACCCCTTTCTCAGAAGGGAACGCTTTAGCTAAACAAATTTTTCGAAGAATCTTCTTTCCTTCGCTTTTGAAACAGTAGAAAACAATTTCAACAACGCAGGGCTTTGCCGTTAGGGTTGTTCTAATCACTGATGTAGAAAGTGCATTTCGTGTTTATTCACACCACAAAACATGGGTGATGTTACGACTTATGAGTGCCATTGGCAGTTTGTTGCTCGATTCCGCGTCGCAGGGCGCGAATGCGAGCCAACCGCCTTGACTGTCACTCGAAAGACTTTGTTTTCAAAGCTCTTCATCGAGATGACTGCACTCGAGAACGACTGACAGACCGCGATTCACGAGGTCTGATAAAAAACTAAACAATGATCTAGATGCCGAGGATATGGTAGGTGCCTTCGAAGTATGTGAAACTACGCGAGTTTGTACAGCGGAAGCAGGTTTTCAAAAAAAAAAAAGTGCTAATGAAACCACGTCAGAACCAGTACAGCTTACGTATATTCCCTGTTGCCAGCCCCAGTCAACGTTATTTTTGTTACTTTTTTTCGCGTTCCCTGACAAAACTGCAAGCGCACAGCTAGCTCTTAATTTCCAGTAGGAAGGAACTCGAAGGTAAATAGGGCTATACATCTTGTATACTATTGCGCGTCCTTTGCGCCTCGCTCCCTCAGTAGCGTAGTGTTCTTTAGAGCCTTCTTCAAAGTCTGACCTCACCCCTCCCCCTCAGCCCCTCCCCGTTTCCACTTCCCCTTTCCTGGTCACAGGGAGCCACACTGGGTCGGTCAAAACTTGACCACCAAGTGCCTTCGTTCCCCTCGTTAGTATTCACATCTTCTTTTGTTTCCCGTTCTACGCCGGCTCACGCAGCCTTGACGCTTCTGTAAAAAGAACCTTTAGGTCTGTCTCGTTCTCACTTTCTTTCATGAAACTTTTGTTTACTTCACGTTTTTTTGTTCTTTAGTTCTGTTTTTCATAGGAGCACGTGCAATCTTCAAATGGTTCGCGCACCGCTTGGCGGTTCGTCGTTTTTGAACATTTCTAAAGAAATGACGCACACGCATACCAAACGTTTTCTTCCGCTTGCTGTCGCAGACACCGGCTACGCTGCTTGTATGATAGCGCGATGAGAAATCGACACTAAAGAAATTGTATGGCCACGTTGTTTCGTGATAATCTGTTAACCGCCTTATTGGACATTTGCAATACTCGATTATCGAGCCGAGACAAGTGTACTTGCGCGCATTGCTCCTGTCATTTTCCTTGAGTTGTGTATATATGTAATTCATTTTTTATTCCTGTTTTTTTATTATTACCAACTATGTCGAATAAAGAAAACGTTGTTGTATTTAAAAAAAAAACTGTTCTCACGTGCCTTCTTATTCTCTCTTCTTTGAATGCCCGGAAACACGAAATGACAACAAGCCCGTTTTTAATTTTCCCTCCAAGCACGCAAAATTATCTATAGTAGTGTCATGGCCGTCAGCAGTAGGGTGCAAAAGGGGCACTTGCTTCCTCAAGCCACAGCAGCACTTGCCCTCACCCAAGCTGGACCAGTGCTTTTTTCTCTCTCAAATCACAATGCAACAATGGTTTGCAACCCCTCCCCCTTCCCAGAGAAAATTCTGCCGATGACCTTGAGTAGGGTGAAAGCTTAGAAGTATGAGGCCTTTCCTCCTTGAAGGCGAATGCACAAAAGCCTGCAGATAGTGAAGGTGCCACGGCGTCGCCTACTAAGGCATGTTCATCTGCACCTGTCAGATCAAAGGATGGAACAAGACAACCCGTTCGCAAACTAAACAGACGGTCGATGACAACTTTAGAAACGATGCTTTCGTTGTTTGTGTGTTGTGACCGTGGCTGCTGCTTTCGTCTTGTCCAATATTGTCTCACTGCTGCTAACGTAGCCTTGCAAACCACGAAATGTCTAACGAAGCCTGGGTGTGGGGCAGCAAGGTAATGCAACCAGTGGCGTTAAGCAGTGGCGACATGAACTAAGGCTTCGGTTAAAAACATTTAAGAAGCCTTACCGTGTCCTCCGAGATTCTCCGCATTGTCGGAGTGAGTAGGCAAGAGTTACAGGATCACGTTCAGACGTCGCGTGGGGCCTCTTTGAGCGTTATGTAGATGTTAAACGGCTCGTTTGATAAGCTGCGATTCCCTGCTAGATGGAACCTTGCTCTTCTCTCCCAACAGCATCGAAGATGACCAAAAGACCATTTGTTTTCGGAGTGGATGAGTCATGCTTTTTTAAATTTCTTGTATCAGAGCATTAATCATCCCACTATTTAATTCTGTTCTGCAAAAAGTCTGCTACTAGTTGTTGAGGGACATTTTTGATCTCAAGTTCACTGATTAGGTTCGCTTCTATGTTTGAGTCATTTAAGCAAATTAATATGCTCGAGAGATGCGTACGTTATTGACACATGAGATCTGTTTATTATTCCGGACAGCCGCTTGGTTCCCAAAGTACTATCCGCCATATTGGGCACAACGTGCACGTGTCAACGCGCATGTAATGCTGAGAATGAAAGGCGGCGACAGCGACTGCAGCGTCGAGGGGTATGATGTTCTTGAGCAACTTCTCGGTGATGCACGTTGCTGTCCTTACAGAGGTTGTGACGACCCGTAGTAAGTAATTTTGTCTCGTTGCGCAATTAGCTGCACACACTGTTTGAGCCGACGGTCGATTGCATTGAATAGAGGTAAGGCCCAGAAGATCCGCTCAGCTGATGCTTATGTTTCCAGCGATGCTCACATTCAGTATAAACACTCGTGTAGTTGAGTTCATGAGCGTGCACTTTCAAATTAAGTATTACTCACTCCCTAAAATACAAGTGCAACAATCGGAAGGCAGGCATTTGGTTCACTATGGGAATTGGTAGGCTGACGCCGTCAAAGGATTGAAGCACTACTGGCCAGTTATTTCCTAAACTAAATGTGATTGCTCTTACATGGAGACATCGGCAAAGTTTGTTAGATTGACTCACTGCAAGAATTTTGAGGTGCATCAAGTTGGCTCTTAACCCAAGCGGGTAGCAAGTGGCGATCGCATGTGTAGGGCAGAGCAATCTTCAACCTCTCTGGCTACCGTCCACTCCAGTACAAGAACATATAATTCTATGAGGAAAGCCAACAATCGCGTACGCATCAAGTCATAACCTACGAGTAATTAACGAAAGCGCGAGCCCACCAAATGTGTAAGAAGATTCAGAAATAACCGTATGTAATAGCGCAAACTATGTACGGTGAGCATATCGCAGCTTTAAACGGCCTATAAGACACATGAGTGCTTCAAAGGTGTCCATGAGTGATCCACGGGGCACTCACGAGGGAGCAGGTGTTATTCATCTGTTCACTCTTGTAATAAACAGGTATAATATGTTTAACACTTCGGCCCACCACCCCGATAGAAAAGTGTACTTGTTTTCTTCATTCCTTCTATCAATTGGTGTCATTCTGGCATATCGCTTCTGTTACATTTTAAGCTGGCAGTGAAGGGTGACCACGACTACAGACGTGAAACATTGCGCCAATCACTTCTCTGAGCTATAACCAGCTATCCTTTGGGGAGAACGTGCAAAATGAGAGAGCATTGCTGCAAGACATCTCAAAACGATACCAGGCTAGTATTTCATCAGAAGTTTTGGACACTTAACATAGCAAGATGAAATCATTGGTTATTGCTTATCTTTGATCCTCATGATGCTACATGAATCATCGCGCTGAAGTGCCGCCATTCTCGGAAATTGGTTATGATCTGGATGGTTTGAATACTAATTGGAATCAGTGATGGTCCAATTTGTCGACGTAGCAGCTATCACTGTTCAACAGCTCCAGAGAGCAGTTAAATATTTACAGCTGTTAGTTCTATACAGAGCAGGCCGCAACCAGCATCCTAGACTTGCCTTCGCAGTGGGGCAGCTTCGGCTACTTGGTATGACATGACGACAGTTATAGCACAAGAACAGAACGACGACACAGAGAAAAGAAGGACACGAAGGACACAAGCGCTGACTTCCAACTGAGTTTATAGCGCAGAGCGTGAAAATATATATAGGAGACAGTAAACCTTGTGACAAAAACCATGTGGCACAAAGAGCAATACATGAGTGAGGAAAAAAACACAAAAGCACAGAAAAGGCAAAGAAAAGTCCCAAAGGAAACGAAACGGAAAAGTAAAGGTAATATAACTATACTGCGCGCACCGAAACCCCAGAGAAACCTTAGTTCCTCGGAACTAAGCTTTCTTTGGACCTGTGTAGAAATGTCACTGGCTAACAAGTTTAATACGTACATGGCCGCCTGCTGTAGTCACTAATAAGCTCATTATTGAATCTTATTCACCGGCACGGGTGACAGTGATAATTATTGTTGCACATTGTGTTCCCTCGAGCACTTAGCTATCTGTAAAGGTGGCTTCTACACACACAACTTACAGCACTGACTTTTTGAAGAAAAACAAAAGGCTTAATTTTAAACATCCTGAACATGCGAGAGACTTGAATACAACAACCAGGTGGCTCAGTGAAGCTCCCTTTCTATAGGAAACAGAAGCCATGCGCAGCTGCTGTACATTCCAGTAGCCAACTTTTCACAAGCCATCATTGATGACAAGCTTGTCCGGAATTCCTTCACGCCCAGTTCATACGAGGAGCATGCATAGGCTGCTGTGGAAACACCAAAAAAAGAAAAACAATTTAGTGACATGTGTCTCTTAGCAAAACTGAATTTGTCAGTCTACTTAAAATGATTTGGAACAATGTGTCTTAAAACAATGCTAGAATTGCACTCATGCATAGTGCATTGACAGCAAATTTAATGATACCACAACACCTACATTATAGTATGCACCTTTATCAAGTATCCATTGCAGGTAACCTATAATAATACATATGAATTTGATTTCAAGTACAACTAATGTAGCTTTCTCCAGGATTCTCAAACTGGTATGATTATACCTCTAATGTAAGAAATTGGTGTCCCTAAACTACTAATGTGTACTGCCAAGTTATGGTCATCAGTTTCATTGATTCTGGCTGGCTAAAAAGGCAGTGCCCCTAACTTAAGCAACACAGACTGTCTAATGAAAAGAAAAAAAAACGTGGAAATACTAAGACACGAGGCACACACCTTTGACCACGCACCAACCCAATAATGCATGCAAGCTTCTGCAACCATCTCCGGGAACCAGAATCTTGGAATCTATTGACCGCGATTTTGCAATAAGGTTTGATGAAACTGATTTCTGAGTTTCTATAGTTCCTTCAGTGCCAATCGCTTGAAAACTTGCAGCCTATATTTATTATTAGTAAATTATTTTGGTGTCCAATTTTACATTTTACCACCCAATACGTACGTGACTTATGCATGCTTATAGTGATTTATATTATTATCGCGAGTTTTTAGTCATGAAATATTCATTCTGCACATACCACAGATCCCGTTGACATCTGTAGCGCATGGCTATAGAATTTACTTTATCTAATATACTGTTAAGTTAATCATTAAACAGAAAATGTCATTAGAGGCGGTGATCTAAACTATTCCTAATGTTGACACACGTAGAAGTGTTTAGCAAAGTTTCAAAACCTAGGTTGGGCGAACTGCGTAGAATATTTATTAAACCAAAACAAAATCCTAACATATATAGTGCAAACAACCAGAGTAAAATCGATGGTGCTCGAACGCGTAGACTAATGACTGAATTAGTGCTCGCACAGTTAGGTACAGCAATTAGGCCCCTTTTAGCCACGAAATATTTCGTTCGAAATATAGATCAAAACGAATGGCGTAAAATGCACGAATTCAGGCCGCATGAGGCAACCTATGTTGCTGGCCTATACTGTAAGATCGAATTTTGGTAAAAGAGCTGCATGAATACTAAAGCGTAAGTGCAACCTTTTCGAGCCACACCTAAAACTACGCAACACGCTGAACACGAACGCACATCAACTCAAGTATCACGGTAGTTTATAAAAATGCGTTCCGGCTCCAATGCATACACCGGCATACATTCGGTCACTCGCAAGGAAAAAACTTCTCTCATGGTAGTTATAACAAATAACATTACTGTGGCTGTTTAAAATGAAACGTATACAACAGCTGAAACTGTCTTTAACAGGCTTACGCGCTCTAGGCATGACCAACACCTACAGCTAACAAATGGCCCAGAAATACGAAACAAAAATAAAGGTCAACCGCGTGCAGGGCCCCCCTTCAACACCACTGCCGACAGAGGCGGCCGCTGCCACAACTCCGCTCAAATCTGCGGCTGAATTCCCGTGGCACGTGCACACTCCACAGACACACACACAAAAAAAACTTGTCCGCGCTTAACTCCACAGAACTTTGCCTTTAC